AATAAATAAAAATCCATCAACTATAACCCCAAAAGAACCAGATTCCGTAAACAACATAGAGGAAGAATGAAGGGAATAGCTTCTCGAGGGAATCATATTTGTTTCGGTAAATATGCGCTTCAAGCACTTGAACCCGCTTGGATCACATCTAGACAAATAGAAGCTGGGCGACGGGCTATGACACGAAATGCACGTCGTGGAGGAAAAATATGGGTACGTATATTTCCCGATAAACCAGTTACTGTACGACCCGCAGAAACACGTATGGGTTCAGGAAAAGGATCCCCTGAATATTGGGTTGCTGTTGTTAAACCCGGTCGGATACTTTTTGAAATGGGTGGAGTAACAAAAAATATTGCCAGAAAAGCTATTTCAATAGCAGCATCAAAAATGCCGATACAAACTCAATTCATTATTTCGGAGATAGAATAGACGATATAACTCTAGAACCAACCCAAAGAATCTTAAGAATGAAACAAAAACAAAAAAAAAAGAGGTTTCGTTTTATGTTTGTGGACAAAAAATATTTCTTTTTTTCTTCGCCCTTTGCATTGTGAAAGAAAAGAATAAAAAAAAATGCTATGATTCAATCCCAAACCCTTTTAAATGTAGCGGATAACAGCGGGGCTCGAAAATTGATGTGTATTCGAATAATAGGAGCTAGCAATCGTCGATATGCTTATATTGGTGACATTATTGTTGCTGTTATCAAAGAAGCTGTACCTAACATGCCTCTACAAAGATCTGAAGTAGTTAGAGCCGTAATCGTGCGTACCTCTAAAGAACTAAAACGTGGCAACGGGATAATAATACGATATGATGATAATGCCGCAGTTGTTATTGATAAAGAAGGAAATCCAAAAGGGACCAGAATTTTTGGTCCAATCCCCCGGGAGTTAAGACAATTAAATTTTACTAAAATCGTTTCATTAGCTCCTGAGGTATTATAAAAAAAATTAAAAAATGGAGTAGAATCTGTCTCACGTATATAACTTTAAGATTAAAATAAAGTAAGATAAACACAATAATCCATAGACAATAAAAAAAACACGTTGAGAGTAGAAAAATTTTTAGCTCCATAATTAGAGTTCATCATGGGTAGGGACACTATTGCTGAGATAATAACTTCTATACGGAATACTCATAGGGATGGAAAAAGAACAGTTCGAATCCCATCCAGTAATATTAACGAAAAGATTGTAAAACTCCTTTTAAAAGAAGGTTTTATTGAAAGTGTGAGAAATCATCGAGAAAACAACAAAAATTTTTTAGTTTTAACTCTGCAACATATAAACACTAAAAAAAGGACCTTTAGCAATATTCTAAATTTAAAACGGATAAGTCGACCCGGTCTACGAATGTATTCTAAGTCTAAAAAAAATACCTAAAATTTTAGGCGGGATGGGGGTTGTAATTCTTTCTACTTCACGTGGTATAATGACAGACCGAGAAGCCCGACTGCAAAGAATCGGGGGGGAGATTTTGTTTTATATATGGTAATATTTTCAAGATGCCAATTAGGTAGAAACTTTCCATTTCTATGATTCCCAAATGGGATATTTTAGAATCTAATGAAATCCCCATTCCTTATTGCTTCTAGGTCACTGAAATAAAGAATAAAGTCCTTCGGATGAAAGAACAAAAATCACTTTCCTTTTTTCAAGAATTTTTTTATTAAGGAATCCTTTTCAAATAGTATGTTCTGGTTTTCTTTTTTATTGATTTAGATAATCAACTAATAAAGTAATAAAGATTGGATTATAAGTTCTTTTTGTGAAAATAGGCTAAATTCATTTTTAGTTTAGACGGATAACTTCAGAACAAGTCGATGAAGCTTTTGCAACACAACAATGATTCAAAGGAGTCATTTTTAAACTTAGCTATCTCTTTGGCAAAAATAACAAAATTAGAAATTGAAAATAAAAAAAAAAATGAATGTTTTTATTATAATCTTCCAATCAAACCGAAACTCTAAAGTAAATTTAAAAGAAATGTAAGGAGTCTGAATATGAAAATAAGAGCTTCTGTTCGTAAAATTTGTGACAGATGTCGATTAATACGGAGAAGGGGACGACTTATAGTAATTTGTTCCAATCCCCAGACATAAACAACGACAGGGATAATAAGACTTCGCAACTTAACTTAGTAACTAAACCAATTATAGAAATGAAAGAATCGTGAAATGGATATATCCATATAGTATATCGCTGACTCAGATTTACAAATGCTTAATGGTAAAATATATATCGAGAATTAGTTCGCGTAGGAAGGGGGGACGTATTGGTTCACGTCAGAATGCACGTAGAATACCAAAAGGAGTAATTCATGTTCAAGCCAGTTTCCATAATACCATAGTGACTGTTACAGATGTACAGGGACGGGTAGTTTCTTGGTCCTCTGCCGGTACTTCTGGATTCAAAGGAACCAGAAGAGGAACACCTTTCGCTGCTCAAACCGCGGTAATAAATGCTCTTCGTAAAGTAGTGAATCGAGGTATGCTACGAGCCGAAGTATTTATAAAAGGTCCCGGTCTCGGAAGAGATGCAGTATTACGAGCTATTCATAGAAGCGGTATATTATTAACTTTTATAAGGGATGTAACCCCTATGCCACACAATGGCTGTAGACCCCCCAAAAAACGACGTGTGTAGAAATCAAAAGTGAACCTATATCAAGAGAAATAGAAGATTCACTAATATACTAAATCAAAATTTTTATGGTTCGAGAGAAAGTAGCAGTATCTACTCGGACACTACAGTGGAAATGTGTTGAATCAAGAATAGACAGTAAACGCCTTTTTTATGGCCGCTTTATTCTATCTCCACTTATAAAAGGTCAAGCCGATACAATAGGAATTGCGATGCGAAGAGCTTTGCTGGGAGAAATAGAAGGGACATGTATCACACGTGTAAAATCTGAGAAAGCCTCGCATGAGTATTCTACCATAGGGGGGATTCAAGAATCGGTACATGAGATTTTAATGAATTTGAAAGAAATTGTATTGAGGAGCAATCTATATGAAAGTTGTGATGCGTCTATTTGTATCAAGGGACCTCGACATGTAACTGCCCAAGATATAATATTACCCCCCCCATGTACAAATTGTTGATAACACACAACATATAGCTTGGTTGACGGAACCTATTGATTTTTTTATTGGATTAAAAATAGAGAGAAATCGCGGATATTTCAACAAAGTGGACCTTCACTTTGACGATGGAAGTTATCCTATAGATGCTCTCTTCATGCCGGTTCAAAATGCAAATCATAGTATTCATTCTTATGGGAATGAAAAACAAGAGATACTTTTTTTGGAAATATGGACAAATGGAAGTTTAACACCAAAAGAAGCACTTCATGAATCCGCCCGAATATTGATTGATTTCTTTATTCCTTTTTTCCAGATGGAAGAAGAAAACTTATATTTAGCAGATGCAAAACACACAATTCCCCTACCCCCCCTTATCTTTTATAATAAAGTGACTACACTTATAAAAAAAAAAAAGAAACTTTCATTGAAATTAATTTTTATTGACCAATTAGAATTCCCTCCCAAGATATATAATTGCTTGAAAAAGTCAAATATATTTACATTATTTGATCTTTTTAATCAAAAACAAGAAGATCTTTTAAAAATAGAACATTTTCAACTAGAAGATATAAAACATATATTGGGGATTCTAGGAAAATATTTTGCACTGTATTGATTATAAACTTAGGTTTAATTAATAAAAAAAATAAATTGAAACATTCATGAATATGAATTGACGTGTATCTAGGAAGAACTTTCAAGAAACGCTTCCCTAGATACACAAGCTTTGGTTTTTTTTAAATTGAATCAAAACTCCACAAAACAAATTTAAAAAAGACCTAAAGTGAGGGATTTTTCAATAGGTAATGTTGCACCAATGCCCAACCAAAAGGTAACTCCGGTACCAATAAAAAACACAGTGGTTGCTACTGGACGACGAAATGGGTTTTGGAATTTATTAACATTCTCTAAAAAAGGTACTGTTAATAATCCCGTAGGTACTGAAAGCATTAAAAGAACACCTAATATTTTATTAGGCACTGTACGAAGTATTTGAAATACAGGAAAGAAATACCATTCAGGTAATATTTCTAACGGGGTTGCAAAGGGATTTGCGGGTTCACCAATCATTGAGGGTTCTAGAACTGCTAAACCTACATTACATGCAATAGTACCAAGAATAACTACTGGAAAAATATATAAAAGATCATTGGGCCATGCGGGTTCCCCGTAATAATTATGACCCATACCTTTTGCCAATTTAGCTCTTAATACAGGATCATTCAAGTCAGGTTTTTTTATTATTGGGATAGGTGAAGTCTTAGAGATCCATCCCCCGAGGGAACCGGACATGATCATTTTTAATCATCCAGCTCGAGCAAGACTCAAACAAATAATTAAAAAAGAATTAATCATTATATGAATGAACAAATACATTTCTAAAGCTAGGTAGTTTATAGGTTATCTTAGAGTCGTTAAGAGTCTTTATATTCATTTATACACAAAAGATAATCTATGATATAGAAATAGTTCAATGTAAAAGAAAAAATTTGTTTTTATCAAGTGAACCTTCTCTAGTCAAAAAATTAAATTTCTTTTCTTATTTGCTTACGCGTCAATACTCAAGACCCAAGTAGGCTTAATTTTCTGATAGGATCAAGTGCTTTTTGGGTCGTCTCCAACCTTAGAATGCGTATTTATCTGAAACTATTTTCAAAAAGTTTTCATATTTTAAGATACGCAGAAAGGTTTACTTGTTACTAAAAAAAAAGTCCAGTTTCTTTTCTTCGTTAGATCTCTTGTTTCACTCCGATAGTATTATCGAGATCGGACCAATGGAGAGGAAATGACTCCATTTACAGATTCTATATTAGCGTTTAAAATGTTAAATAAAAATAAAAAGTTTCTAGGATCTTTTTATATTCAATATTGGATTTTACGGAGCCTAATCATGTATAACATGATTTTTATATGATCATAGAATAAATTATCTTCAAGGGAACCAGCTTATCCCTCACATAAGGCTTATGCGCCAATTGGAACAAAGACACATTTGGGTGGTGATAATTCAAATGTGGTAGGCTTATATCTACATGGACCAATCAATAGTTCAGGTCGCACACTCCCATAATCCATTTTATCGTAAAATTGATCTTCAACTTCAAAGAATTCCCCTCGCCTATTTGTGTATTCATGTAAAAAAAAAAGAATATAGGAAGGGTGAAGATAAATATAAAAAACCATTTCTTATTCTTTTAAAGAATGGATTTTTTTTAGCAATGAAATACTATTACCCCTCCTCCAAGTGAGAAATAACATATCTTACAAATTTTTTTTATTTAGGATCTCTTTTTATTTCTATTTTGATTTATAAAGGACCAGAAATACCCTGTTTACGTATCATTGAAAAGTGCATTAACATAAATACGGCAGTAATAAGAGGCAAGACAAAAGTGTGTAAACTATAAAAACGAGTCAAGGTGGATTGCCCCACACTAGCGCTTCCTCGTAAAAATTCTACCAAAGGTGATCCTATTACAGGAATAGCTTCGGGTACACCTGTTACAATTTTCACTGCCCAATAACCTATTTGGTCCCGAGGTAACGAATAACCGGTTACGCCAAAAGATGTTGTCAATACAGCTAAAATTACACCTGTAACCCAAGTCAATTCACGAGGTTTTTTAAACCCACCTGTCAGATACACACGAAATACATGCAGAATCATCATCAATACCATCATACTTGCTGACCATCGATGAACCGATCGGATTAACCAACCAAAGTTCGCTTCAGTCATTATGTATTGAACAGAAGCAAACGCCTCTGTAAGGGTCGGACGATAGTAAAAAGTCATAGCAAACCCGGTAGCTACTTGTACTAAAAAACACGTAAGCGTAATTCCCCCTAAACAATAAAAAATATTGACATGTGGAGGAACATATTTACTAGTTATATCATCTGCAATCGCCTGAATCTCCAGACGTTCTTCGAACCAATCATAGACTTTATTGAGATAGGGTAATTTCCCCCCCCTGAGAACCGTATATGAGACTTTCATCTCGTACAGCTCAACCAAAAATGTCCAAATACTCATTGCGCCGGCCAGACCAACACATAGATTATATTCAATAAAATGCGAAATCTATTATTTCTTATTGATTTTTTTGGCACTAATACAAACATATCAAGTTAGCTCAGTTGTCTTTATTTTTATTTTGACGGGCTTTTTGAAGCTTCTCTTTACCTATCTTTTTTTTTATGGAATGATTCTTTTTTTATTTGTTTTGTTTATTTGATTGGATAGGAATTACCTTGTTAAGACCCTATAAATCGAAAAAAACCTAAGATTCCTATTTAGAACCACGATTAAAAAAATTGAAACGTAATCAAGGATTCCCTGAGTAAGAACCTTTTTAAATTAACTTTAACCATACTAAATAGATGGAATTTTTATTTTGGTCATCCAGAAGGTTTTAAATAATCAAACCTTCTTGGTTTCAAAATTTTTTTGGAACCCGGGCACGAGGTCTTAATAGGAAGTCTGAATCATAGTTCAAATAGATCTCGTGTTTCAGATACTCGAATCCATATCTGACGAATCAAATAATCTCTGGTAAGTAAGATAACCAAATTTTATGGACTATGAATAGGATCCTTTATAACAAGTCACACACTCATATTCCGGAAATGATAGAAATAAATAAATAACACGATCGAACTACCACAATTACATAAAATAGAATGCATTCTAAATCTTAGTTAAAAGGGCGCCGCTTTGAATAAAAAAAGTGGGACTAGGTTTCAATTCATTGAAATTCCATCCAATAAAACGGAAGAATTATAAATCTCTAAAATAATAGATAGAAATATCGCGAATAAACCCATTGCCAAACCCATTAAAGGTGTTGTTCCCCACCCCGGAGCTACTTTACCGTATTCTGAATTCAATGGTTTTAATAAATTACCGATAGTAGTTTGTCTTGGACGATATTGAGAACCTTTCTCACTAGTTTTTGTAGCCATAAATCCTCTTTTATTCAATTTTATTTATTGAGAGATCTGTTAACTTTGTATACCATTGCGTTATAAAGAAATGATCTTAGCATAGATCCTTTGGAGTATTTTAATTATATACTAATAAAAAAATGGAAACAGCAATCCTAGTGACGATATTTATATCCGGTTTACTTTTTAGTTTTACTGGGTATGCCTTCTATACCGCTTTTGGACAACCTTCTCAACAGCTAAGAGATCCATTTGAAGAACATGGAGATTAGTTGAAGTAATAAGCCTCCCCACGGTGGAGGGCTTATTACTTCAAGTTACTATAGCGAAAAATTATTTGATCTTTTTCATTGGTACTTTAGGGGGTTCTCGAAAAAAGATAGCGAAAAATATTATTCCTAGAGTCGAGACTAAGAGGAATGTATAAACCAATGCTTCCATAAATTACATCGTAGTTTCCAATTATAGCTTTCCTACCTATTTTTGTTTTTTTTATCCTATATCTTACCCTATATCTTACTTCGCTTCGGATAAAGAAAGAACGAAAGACAGATATCAAAATAATAGGATAAATGATATATCAGACAGCTTGTCGTCTTGTCGTTGGATCTCCCAGTTTTTGGAATACTCCAAACTCTACTTGCACATCTAAATCTGGGTCAATCCCAGCAAAAACATCTCTGAAAAGGGTTCTAGCACCATGCCAAATGTGTCCGAAAAAGAAGAGCAATGCAAATGAAGCGTGCCCAAAAGTAAACCAACCTCTTGGACTACTCCGAAAAACCCCATCAGATTTCAAAGTAGCACGATCTAATTCAAAAATTTCACCGAATTGAGCGCGTCTAGCATATTTTTTCACAGTAGCCGGATCATTAAAACTTACTTCATTGAGTTCACCACCGTAGAACGCAACAGTGACTCCTACTTGTTCAACACTATACTTCGATTCTGCCCTTCTAAACGGAACATCGGCTCTAACAATTCCATCACTGTCTACTAGAATAACTGGAAATGTTTCAAAAAAAGTAGGCATACGGCGTACAAAAAGTTCACGCCCTTCTTTATCTCTAAAGACAGGGTGGCCTAACCATCCAACTGCTATTCCATCCCCGTTATCCATCGAACCTGCTCTGAATAATCCTCCCTTTGCTGGATTATTACCGATATAATCATAAAAAGCTAATTTTTCCGGAATTTTCGACCAGGCTTCTGATAAACTTTGATTTTCTGCTAGTCCCGTACTAACTCTTCGATATATCTCTTGTTGGAAATAACCTTGGTCCCATTGATAACGGGTGGGGCCAAATAATTCAATTGGGGTAGTCGCCGAACCATACCACATAGTTCCAGCAGCTACAAAAGCTGCAAAAAAGACAGCAGCAATACTACTTGAAAGGACGGTTTCT